AGCATTAGCCCAGCGCAGAAACGCAGAGAGACTAACTTATGGCAACACAAAATAAAACATGGGAGCGGTGGAGATGAGGAGGTGTCGGCGTTCTGGCGATTTACTCGGAAGGCTTCAGTAGAAGCTGCTGGGAGTCCCAGCAGCTTCTACTGAAGCCAGTCCCCAACTCCAGGGACTTCCGGCCGGGGACTTTGGGCGGCAGTATACGCCGTGAAGTGGTTTGCTTTGCGGCCTGCCAGTAAACCCAAAGCAGAAGAAGAAGAAGTGACGTCAGCGGCTTCATTTGCCTAATCCACTTCCAGGTTCAAAGAGTTCTCATGAACTAAATTCTCATGAACCTTTGTGGGAAAAGTACTGCGGTGGGAATGCGCCTAATGGTATACTAAAATCCATGTGAAAAAAAAATTGCTTCTCACTGTTCTTAGGTCAAATATTTATATGTGATTAAAAATGCGATTCATTTCAATTAATTAATTACAAAGCCTCTAATTAATTAGATTAATTTTTTAAGGGTCCCGGCCCTAGTAGTTACATCTTTGGGAGGAGAAGAAAAAAAAGATAGGAACAGAAAAATGTTTGGCTTCTCCATTTTTGGAGTGAATAAATTCAATCTGGTCAAAAACGTAGGGAGGTTCTTACTTGCCACTTGTCCTGTATTGAACCAGTTCCACATGAGGGCATAACCTGAATAAAAACACATGACAACATACCTCTGACTGTAGCTTTATGTGTGAAGGGTTCATGTCCGGACAGGAAGTGAATTGGTTTTGGACAGATGTATTAGTTTTGCTTCAGCTGTTTGATGAGATCTGCCTCTCTGTCTGTTCCCACCGCTCTCTCAGGGTTAGAGCTGTGTGACCCCCCCAATCGTCTCATGGTCGCCATGATCAGCAGCTTCTTTAGCGTGATCGCAGAGCTGCTGTTGCCAGGTATCGCTGTTCTGTGCCGTGATTGGCCCGTTCTTCAGGCCGTGGCCACTTTGCCTCAGCTGCTGCTGCTTTCCTATTGGTGGTGAGTCAAGTGGCGTTATCTGGAGTACATGGACACGCCGTGTGTGTATTTGATGAAGCATTGTGGCCAGTCTATTATTCTACAGTGGTGCTTAACGCATTGATGTCAAACAACACACTCAGACAACTTTAAGTATTATACATCAGCAAGAAACACCTGAGGAGAATGAGTGTCCTTCCTTAACTCAGGTTTGTTTTGCTGATTATTCCAGTACTACGAGAACCTTCAAAAACTGAAGTGTGTGCTCTTGTGTCTGTACTCACTTAAGATGTTTAATAATTAGTTACATTTAATAGAAAGGCTTTATTAATAACAAAAACGGATGTATGCTGATACCTGCTACATTTGAGGGATATCAAATAATGTTTCAATGTTCTATATTTTCTCTGTTCATCTTTCCACCCTCTCTATATAACAGAGTATGTGTGAATCCTGTCTCTCTGAGGTATGAACGTGTTGTTTTCCTCAGCTGTGTGTCGGTGTTTCCTGAGTCTCCTCGCTGGCTGATGGCCACAGCTCAGATCCCTCAGCTGAAGAGGAGTCTCCAGGAGTTCTCCACCAGGAACGGAGTTTGTTTACGAGATGAAATCTACCCTGGAGAAACCCTGCTGTCAGGTACACACACAGCCTCAGTGCATATGTTATTTGCAACATCATTAGCCTTTTTAAATCTATATATTGATTGATTAATTCATTGTAAATCAACTACGCTTGATGGCAGCAATTGGTAGAATGTGTCAAAAATAGATGTGAATCCTTAAACCCTGCAGAATGACTAGCCTGAAAACCTTTGGCTGTTTTGGGATGGCTTTAATCGTTTCCGGGTATTACTTCCACCTCTTTTCCTGTTCATAGAGATAGATACAGCCTTCGGTGAAGACTGTCAACCAAGGTACTTTTCTATTTTGGAGCTGCGTCAAACTCGTGTTATCTGGAAGAACTGCCTCATCCTCAGCTTCACGCTGTGAGTTTTTATTCTGAGTGTGAAATAAGGAAGGTTCCTTGGACTTGTCCATGAAATTGAAAGGCTTTCCATTGCACGATATGAGTGGGATGCATGTTGAGTGTTGGGTTTAATCCATGTTTATGTTCTGTCCCTGTCCTTCAGGTTCATTGGAACTGGCATTCAGTACTGTTTCACCAGAAACCTGCACAGTTATTCCTCCAACTTCTACTTCAGCTACTTCCTTCGAGTGATGACCGGAGCTCTGGCCTGCGTCTTCATCTGCCTGTCCGTCAATCACTTTGGTCGGCGGGGTATGCTTCTGCTCTCTGCCATCATCACCGGCCTGTCGTCGCTGCTGCTGCTCGCCCTCACTCAGTGTACGTTACACAGCTTTTCTTCACATCGTTATTTTGGATTTGGATTAGAAATTCAAATGTATACAAGACACTGTAACATGTGTAAATTGCTGACGGTTCAGGGTCTCAGATTTGAAGGTTATATAATGAATTTAATTTAATATCATGAAATTGGACAGATCACCATTGCAGTTTATGTATAAAGGAATCACTGTTGATTGTTTTCTTATCCTTCAGGTCAGGACCTAACATGAAACTTGATATGCATATAATGCATTTTAAGCATACTCCACTCTTTACATTTTGTTTAGGTCTTATTGATATTCACATGACGAGTTTAAAGGTTGGTGCTCATGCCATTGCTGTTAATGGGGCTGAAGTTCTCGTGTCTTCACAGAGAAGTCATGAGTCTGTGGTCCTGTTTTTGTCTCAGACCTGCGGGGGGGCCTGGTGCTGGTGCTCTCTGTCGTGGGGCTGCTGTTCTCTCAGGCTCTCGCCATGCTCAGTGTGTTGTTCGCTTGTGAGGTGATGCCCACTGTGGTTCGGTAAGTATCTTCTTGACCAAATTGTTCAAGTTATTTATTTTTATTGTCAAAAAATCCTATAAAAAAAAAATCCAAAACAAAGACAGAAATAATGTTTCGAGCAAAAATCCCCTAGAAATGCTCTGTTTAACCCGTTTCTTTAACTTTTGCTAGAAAAAAGCACGGCTGTTTTAGGAAATAGTTTTGCCTAAAAATCTAAATAGCTATAATGTGTAACCCATTATCAAAGTATTGTGTTTTCTGCAGGAGCAAATAGGCTTAAGGTTGAGTGTTCCAAACAGGTCGAACAATGGGAAAATATATCAAGTTGTCTGATCTCACCACTTTGGTGACCAGAAACCTGCCTGTTGATTTCTCTTCTCCTCTCCCTCCCTGTCAGAGGCGGTTGCCTCGGCCTGGTGCTGGCAGCGGGTTGTGTTGGCATGGCCGCCTCCTCCCTGATGGAGCTCCAGAACAATGGGGGCTATTTTCTCCACCATGTTATCTTCGCCTCCTTCGCCGTCCTCTCTGTTCTCAGCATAATGCTCCTGCCTGAAAGCAAACGCAAGCCTCTCCCAGACTCCCTGAAGGAGGGCGAGAACCAGCGCCGGCCCCCTCTCCTCCTGCCCCGGCCCGACAGAGACGACCTGCCGTTACTCAGCACTCGGCCCCGCCTCTCAGAGTACAACCCCGATAACTACTCCCGCCTGGTCTCTGCCACCCGGAAGATGTTGACTAAAGAGAGTTTGCCTTATAGGATCGCTGTGCCAATGCAGGCCCCTCTGCTGTCGGACAGTGAAACACAGAGTCAAGAGGATGGAACTCTGAAAGAGGTCATGTCTTAATGACCTCTCCTTTGTAGACTCGGACTATACCTCCTCCTCCTTCTAGACATACCTCCACAGAAAGTCTACCACCATGCTTCATTTAATTATTGTCTAAGTCACTCACTGGTTATAACTCAACTGATGAACTGACTTGGCTTGGTTGCACTTTAGAGCGACGGCTCCGAGCATGTCCATGTTTTGGACTCTTCTCGTTACATTTGACTTTCAGAGCTGTTGGTGCTGCAGCAAAGAAAAACTGTGGTGTTTCATTAGCAGCTTAAGTGTTTATACCTTAGCCTTGCTCATCTGTCTGTAAGCTTACAAACCCAATCGTCAGACACTATTTTCCCCAGAGAAGCTCGCTCAACCGGTGAGGCTGCTGTTGATCATGTGGGCCGCGGTGCTTTGTCCATTTATTAGTGACTCTTTTCATGAACTCATCCATCTCATTGACCAGCTGTGTCTCAGTGCTGAGCGGATCCCCAAGACACACAAGACAAGTGTCTTTGTGGAGTCTTGTTATACTTGTGAAGCCCACAAGGGGGAACTAAATGATGCACTGAGTATTGAATCTGATGACAGAGTCAAAGGATATGACTGGTTTTTTTAAATTGTGCCCCTACCAACCTACCTTGTTCATCCAAATATTTCACTTGGAAGTGTTTGGGGAAATGTTGGTAAAGGGATCTGTGTAGGAAAATAGCACTAGATACCAACCAGATGATATTGAATTCAGTCTGGATGATACGTTTGTCTGCTTTATAAACCACTTTGTCTCAAAGTATTATTTAAAGGTGCTATTTCTACCTTATGTTTCTGTTAAAACACTGAATGTAGCTGATGAATCTGCAGATGTACTAACCTCTGTAGCTGGCAGCCAAAACTGTCAGCAACCTCTCTGTTCTCAAATGATTCTAAATTGTGTCCTTTAGTTTCTTATTAGTCCAAAAAAATGTAAATGGTTTAACAGAAAGCCTTAAATGAAGGGCATTAGATATTTTCATAATAACAGATACAACCTGAGTCAATATTTTAAAAATAAAAAGTGTTTTGTAATGTAATGTTTGAGGACTGAGGCGCATGTTAATCCCATATCATCTTGTTGAACGTTGAACTCTTCAAGGTCGCCATGTTTAATAGAAGAAAAACACACTACTTTATTTGACATTCAGGAGATGTGTAATAGTTCACCTAATGTATCCGCACAGTTATGAGGTTACTGTCAGTGAACAAATAAAGAAGATTGTGTTCCTCAGTAGCTCAGAAAACCAATTATTTGTCTTTATTTTCATCCTGTTTGCAAAGTGAAAACCTTAGAAACTAAAACATATATTCTTTTTCATCCATCATGCCATCAAGTCAAATGCTCCTGTGTATGTAATGTGTAAATTAAATTGAAAACATGCAAATCACCAACATTTTAATCTCTTCGGTGGTTACACACTAAGAACACTAGATGGAGCTGTGGACACGTACTGTACTACTTCCTGGTTAATTGTAAGCACACTGATGTTAAGGAATATGGTTGTCTGTGTGCGAGAGTAAGTGTGTATGTATTTGGAATATAATGGTGAGACTTTGTCAACATGTTATTGTCCAGACACAGTTCTATTTGCCCACAGCAGCTTCAATCTCACAGTGGTAAAGTAGGATAAAACAACCAGATGATGCAAGGTAAAGTTAACGTGAAAAGAACCACAACAATGTTTAAATCCAGTTAAATGGTAAATTCGATATGATACACCTTCCCATTATTTTCTAGGTGCTAAACCTACATTCCTAAAGTTCAGGGTTTAATATCCAAAGGTTAAAAGGTAGCACACAGATCTTCAGGACAAAGCAGAATACTCTTAATTTCCATTATGTAAGCAATTAGTGCTATTAGTGGACTCTACTATATTTGGAACGTGTGTGTGTATTAAAACATAGCTTATGAATTTGATCATGTTATAACAGCATGGAGGGCCAGTGTGAGCAGGAGGCCCAGTGTGCTGAGGGAGTGCACGGCTCCAGTGTTCAGGGTCTGGTAGCCGTAGCTCGTCCTGCAAGTATTCTTCACCTCGTCGTATGGAATAGGAACATCATCTGGACTCTTGTCTCTCAGACCATCACGCACCTGACAAACAGAGATCAGACCGTCAGGCAGCAGACAGAAAGGCACTGTCACAGGGGGGTGTGTGTGTGTGTGTCAAAAAAACAAGAAACAATTGATTTCATTTTTATTATCAGTGTGTACAGTTGAATGCACTTCTGCATACATATATGTGTTTGATTGCTTTATATTGTTGTGGCCACTATGTACAGAAAGTAGGAAAATAATAAAATGAATTATTTACGTGCGTGCGTGCGTGCGTCTCTAACCCCCTCAGTGTTGCTCAGGACTCGGAGCAGGTTGTTTCCCAGAGCAGCTTTGACGTCCACATCGCTCCAGCCTCTCCTCAGCAGCTCAGCCACCACTTTGGGCACCTTGGACACGTCCTCCAGACCCTCGGGCAGTCTGACAGGGAATCACATTTTACTTTAGAGAATTCCCCGATTTTCTTTGTGTTTCACAGTTTAAACGTATCTTCCCAGTGTTGACAGGAAGCTTAACGTTTGAAGGTTTGTACTCACCTTCCGACCCCATCATAATCTCCACCAAAGCCAACGATGCCCGCCCCGCCCACTTTCTTTATATGGTCAAAGTGATCTATAATAAAAGGTAGAACCATCATACCTTTTTATCAGGAATATATGCAAAAGATGAAGAGTCAGAAAACAACAATCAGACATTAATAATTAAAGGTCTTCTTCTCATAGCATAGGAGGTAATCCCAAGGCTCCTGGCTGACTGTAACAGAGTGAAGGAAAGCTATGGATGTTTACAACATGGAATATATCTATATATTATAAGTAGGACTGAGCATTGGAGATCTAGAGATAGCTTACTGTTCAATATATTGCAATACTGCAAAATCAGAGTTTAAAGAGTTTACTCTTATTTTAAATTGCAGTGGGATTTGCATTCATCACAGTACTGTGAGAGGGCACATATCTTTGTAAATGACTTATGAATAATTAACCTTTGCATTGAAACTAGTCATTTCAATCAAACAGTGCTTTTAGGAAACATTTCAAAAAATATGAACTTACATCATTAGCTCTAAGAGATAAAGAAACAATTACAGCAGACATTACATGTTCTTTTTAATAACATACAATATAAACTATCAATGTTCGTGGACAAATAACAGTAATTATACAGCTTTTTATAAACGGGACTTTGGAGAACTATGGACATTAAAAAGATGCCCCCTGAGACATGTATGACTCTGTGGTTCTCTGATTGTGTTGTGTTGCACATTGGCAGTTGAACAAGGGAAATTTAAAACATAAAGCTGTAAAAATGAAAGTGATGGAGACAAGGAATTGTATAGACGGAATGATACATGTTAATATGTAACCAGGTTAACAGCCTTCGACATGACAGTAGTTGTTACCTGCAACATCTGAGAGGTTAGCGGTCTTGCTGCAGGTCACGTAGTCGTTGTAGAAGTTCACCATGACGATTCCTCTGGTCTCGTTCTGGAGAAACAGGATGTTACATGACTGTGAGCAGTAACTGACCTAGAAACTGTTATCTAGGATGGAGCTGTGACGTGGGCCAAGAGATGTACCTACACTCACAACATAAGAAAACGAGGGTATTGACCTCTGTTGTCTGAATCTAACAGCCTGTCTCTTGGCTATAAACCATGCTATAAACACATTTATCTTTATCTGTTTGTTTATAACAGTGCTATATAATGTTAGTTAACCATCTTCTTATTTATAATTTTTTCCAACAGGATACTCCCTTAATGCATGTGTCAGTAAAAGTCGACACAAGAGGGACATTTCCAACCACTGTTAACCCTTTGGTGCTTTAAAAAACCTTTTATGGGTATTATTGGAGATCATAAGCAGTAAAGGCAGTATGTTTCTTTAACAGGCATTTCACTGCGTTATCTTTTTATTATTTCTGCCTTTTCATATTCAAATCACTTCCAATATGAGAGGTGGAATGAAGTCTTATCTCTCAGTATAGTGTTATCAACAGCTCCCGGAAACGTAAGTTCTAATATTACACTAGATAGTAAACTAGAATGCTTTTCAGCCATAAACCTTGAACAATTAAATTCAATGATTCTCTCTTCTAAACCATCAACGTGTATGTTAGACCCAATTCCAACTAAGCTGTTGAAGGAAGTTTTTCCATTAATTAGCACTTCTTTATTAAATATTATGAATATGTCTTTATTATCAGGCTATGTTCCACAATCATTCAAAGTAGCAGTGATAAAACCGCTTCTTAAAAAGCACAACCTCAATCCAGAGGTTTTAGCCAACTATAGACCTATTTCTAATCTTCTGTTCCTCTCAAAAATTCTTGAGAAAGCGGTCGCAAAACAGTTGTGTGATTACTTAAAAAACAATGATTTATTTGAAGGTTTTCAGTCTGGCTTTAGAACACATCATAGCACAGAGACAGCTCTGGTTAAAGTCACAAATGACATTCTAATAGCCTCTGACAAGGGACGTGTCTCTATTCTTGTTTTGCTCGATCTCAGTGCTGCATTTGATACTATCGACCATGATATCTTATTGCAAAGACTAGAGCACTTAGTTGGCATACAGGGAACTGCTTTAGGCTGGTTTAGGTCCTATCTATCTGAACGCTCTCAGTTTGTACGTGTCAATGATGAATCTTCCACGCAAACCAAAGTTAGCCATGGAGTGCCACAGGGCTCAGTGCTCGGACCTATTTTGTTCACATTATATATGCTTCCGTTAGGCAATATTATAAGGAATCATTCTGTACATTTTCATTGTTATGCGGATGATACTCAACTATATTTATCAATCAAGCCTGATGAAATTAATCATCTAAATAAAATTCAAGACTGCCTTAAGGACTTAAAAACGTGGATGACCTTAACTTTTTGATGTTAAACACGACCAAAACTGAAGTTATTGTACTTGGCCCGAAGAATCTACGAAACAAATTATCTAAGGATATACTGGATGGCATTAATTTGGCCTCCAGTGAGACTGTAAGGAATCTTGGTGTTATATTTGATCAGGATTTATCCTTTAACGCCCACATAAAATCAATTTCAAGGACCGCCTACTTCCATCTACGTAACATTGCAAAAATCAGGCATATCTTGCCTCAAAACGATGCAGAGAAACTAGTCCATGCATTTGTTACTTCAAGGCTGGATTATTGTAACTCTTTATTATCAGGGTGTAGGGCTGTGCGATTATGGCAAAAATCATAATCACGATTATTTGGTCAATAATTGATATCACGATTATTTTGACGATTATTCATTGACCATTTATTGAACTTTAAAACAAATAATATTTTACCAATAAACAAGATCAATAAATGTGTTGGAGCGCACTTCCAAAACCATACTAAACATATATTAATATGATAAATAAAAATAAATTAGACCAAAATAAATGAAATCAAATATGTTGCAGTGCACTGTCACAACCTACTGAAAACTCCTTAACATATAGCCAACATTTTGGTAAAACATATTCAACATATTCCACTCAGTTAAACGTTGAAGGCTGGCCAACCGTCATGGTCCAGAAGTAACAGGAAATAAATGTTGAACTACAATTTAAGACCAAATAAAAATGTTTAGGCCACCATGGCAAATGCTGGTAGGGCTGCTCATGTCATCTCTTAAAGATTTTTTGCAAGAAATACCAGCCTGTTTACATGGTCTGGTTTCCTCTCTGAAGAGGAACTTGTGGCAGTGCTGCCACATATGACACAGGAAAAAAAGAAAAGACTCTGAAGAACCCTTTCTTTGCCATTATATAAAAATAGTGTTGCTACAAAAGTATAAATTAGGCTTACTAATAAGACAACTCAGATCTGAAGCCACACAGTAATCTGCTGCAGCAACAGTGCAATAAAAAAGACAACATTAATAGAATCAAACCCATTTTTTGTTGCATTTTATAAAATAAATGCCTTTAAAATAGGATGCAAGCAACACTAGTTTCTGAACTGATAGACTATAATCAATTTAAACAGAACAGATCTTAATGTTTGCATTCTTATACCATTTTGTACAATAATTATCATGAATAAATTCAAACAAACTAAAACTTACAGCAGATTAATAACGGTATCTAAATTGAGTTTTTATTATATCAAAAACCTGTTGAAATGCTGCTGTTATTTTTACTGTCCCACAAAAGCGCGTCGCAGCCTCCAGGAAAGCTTCTTTCATAACTTCGCCGTCTTCGAAAGACTTCATGTGTTTCGCAAGAACGTGACTGACACGATAAAATGCTCTGGTAGCAGCCTTGCTCTTGTTGTTGGGCCTGGTGAAAATGGACTGCTGTGCATTTAGCTGTCCTTTCAGGCCCCTCCCCTTTTGGAGCGTAGGGCAGAATTAGGAGGGAATTCCGTCTCGTAGCGTTTGTGCACTGTTTTGAAATGCCGCTCCTAAATTACCCTTCTTCGATAAAGCCACGCTCGCATTGCAGATGAGACAGATGGACTTTGAATTGGAATAGATACAAAAATAATGATCCTCCCACTTGGAGTGAAAATTATATATTTTGGGCTTTTTTGCTTCTGCCATAATTGCGGTCTTGTGTGTGTGCGGACTGTCACTCCTGTTGACCATCCATGCTGTTGACACGGACAACGTCAGCGAACTAGTGCACTGCTCACCAGCCACGCCCGGACACATGGGGTGAGGCCGGCCAATCACAAAGCTTTGATGCGTTCAAGTGCATTATTCTGGCACGGGAACATTATGTTACAGGACATTAACGATAAAACAGAATATTGTTGTTCTATTTTTAGACACATCTCGCGATCGACTGGGAATCTCCCCGCGACCCTTCTTTTTAACTAGTTGCTGCTCTTGTTCTGACATCTTCGCTTGCGCTGAACACTCACAACACATGTCACTCCCACGTGGCCGAGTGGGCTTTTAGGGAGGGGCGAAAGCGCACCCAGCAAAAATAATCGTATTTTGTCAATTATGCTGTTTTCCTAATCGTCGCAAACCATAATCGTAATCGCGATTAAAATACGATTAATTGCACAGCCCTATCAGGGTGTACCAAGTAGTCAGTCAAGTCGCTTCAGCTGATTCAAAATGCTGCAGCTCGTGTACTCACCAGGGTTAGGAAAAGGGACCACATTACTCCTGTTCTGGCTGCGTTACACTGGCTCCCTATAGAACACAGGATAGAATTCAAAATTCTTCTTCTCGCCTACAAAGCCTATAATGGGCAGGCGCCATCTTACCTTAAAGAACTCATTATACCCTATTATTACATGGCTTAGTTGAATACTCGATTCTGATTGGTCAATTCAGAACACGTGACACGTTGTTAATACCGAACAGACAGACCGCTGTCAAGAACTTATTGACCGTTGTTAAGGACGCTCACATCTTCAGAAAGAAGTCCGGTCGATTTAACTGTATACCGTTGGGCCGAAAAGCAAACTGCATGCAGTTTGCTTTTCGAACTGGGACATGAAAAACAGCGCAGAAGTAACGGGCAGAAACCCTCCTTTTTACGCAGCGGTCCAGACATAGACATCAAACGGCAACACATATTCAGTGTGCAGTTACTTTGGCATTAGGGCAGGGATATCTAGATACTTTCCAAGGTTTGACATAATTAATTGTGCTACTTTTAAAGCAAGCAGCGATGTTTTCAAATCTGTAATCAAAAAGCTCCTCAAAAACGCAAGCAGTTCCTGCCGTTGGCTTTTCAAACTGACAAGAGACGCTCTAACTGTTTTTCAAATGTTTGAAAAGCAAGCAAACTGTCTGATTGTCGTTAGTTTTCCGCTGTCGTGTGATAGCAACATGGAGGATTTTAACATTAATTTTAATATATTTGGAGAGCACAGTAATTTGGAGTAATGGTTAGTGTTTCAGTCTGCAGCTTTATTCCGTAACTCACAACTCCATCACATGTATATTCCCGCGCTTGCGGATATAGTACATCACAGTGTAAGCCTGTGTCAGCATGCAGTTTACTAAAGCGCCAACAGGCGTCACTATATAGCAGGCATTAACAGATGCCCATATCTGTAACATCTCCTTTCCTTTAGCTGTAAACAACATCAGCATGTCACTTTAAAGTGCAGGTAAGAGCTACATTGTGTAAAGCTAACACTTTAACATTGTCAACCTCCAATACATGAAAACAATTACAATACTGATTAACCATGCAAATACCGATACAAAACTATAATAATATCCAACAATTCTTTTTTTTTTCTTAACAGTCCAACAGACTTAGTGACAATGTTCCCAGTTGTATCACAGGTTCAGTCTCTGCGGTGGCCGTAACAGGCGACCACACCGCGAGTATACAGCTTGGCTCTCTGTACTCACTGGCTTCCCTGGTGTCAAACCCCGCCCTTGCGCCGGGACCCCTGGAGAGTGAGGAGGCTCCCCCAAACCTGTGTCATCCTGGACCGGGTCGGTTCGAGCTCCACCTGCAGCCCTCTCTGCGTTGACATGGCCCCGGTCCGTGTGGCTGCTCCGCTCCGGCCCTACCAGCTGTCGCATCCGGGCTGAGCGCTCCCCAACCCGCAGATCCACCCGGTTTCTCCTGTAGAGCGTGCCGTCCACCTCCACTACGAATGAGCGAGGAGCGACTTTCTGGAGGCATTGACCCAGTTGCCAACGGCCTGTGCGATCTCCTGGAAGAGGCCTCATCCTTATGTGTTCCCCAACATTCAGTTCTGGTAAGTCCCTTGCCGATATGTCGTAGGCGGATTTTGCAAGCCGCCGTTTCAACCGCAGCTTCTCCGTCACTCCCGTCACTAACCACGGTTGCAGCAAGCTGTCCGCAACCGGCAGCTAAGTCTTCAGCCTTCGTGACATTAAGCGTTGGGCTGGACTGCTGTCCAACCCCTCTGTGGGCGTGTTGCGCCAATGGAGAATGGCCTGCCATTTATCCGTGCCATCCAACTTTGCCCGCTTGCAGAGTGATTTCACTATCTTGACAGCTGACTCAGCTTTGCCGTTTGATTTTGGATATCTGGGTGAGGATGTGACATGGTTAAATCCCCACTTTGCAGCAAACTTCCTGAACTGTTCACAGGCAAACTGTGGGCCATTATCTGTGAGCACTTTGTCTGGCTGTCCGTAGCGTGCAAATTGAGATTTACAGCGTGTGATGAGAGTGTCAGCTGATAGATCCGGCAGAAGATCATTCTCCCAGAAGTCTGAATAGTGGTCCACTAGGACGATGAAATCTTGGCCAGCGTAAGAGAAGATATCCATACTCACTGTTTGCCATGGACGTGTTGGGATATCATGCGACATCAATGATTCCTTCTGCTGGGCTCGTGCATATTCATTGCATGCAGAGCAGTTCGACACATAGTCTTTTATCTCTGTTCTCATGTTTGGCCAGAACAGCGTATCCCTGGCGCGCCTGTAACATGCCTCCCCCCCGATGTGGCTGGTGTGTATGCGTCTTAACAACTCTGCCCTCAAGGCCTTAGGGATAACAACGCACTGCCCTCTGTATAGCACACTGTTTTGCACGTTGAGCTCATCCCTGAAGGGCCAGTATTCTCGCACCAAGAGGGGGGTGTCCTCTTTGAAATCAGGCCATCCCCTGAGGATTACTGATGTCAAAGCTTGTAATACATCGTCCATCTCTGTGTGCTGGGTAATTTGGCGAAACCTGAAGTCAGTAACATCCAGATGCTGTGCCTGATCCAGCTCTGAGTCCTCCACCTGAAAGCTGTCCATGGAACACACCGCCTGTCGTACATAGGGGGTGTCGGAACCACGATACGGTGGAGTGGCCCTGCTTAGAGTGTCCCTGACATACATCTCCGTGCCTGGTTTGTAAACAACATCCAGATTGTACCCCTGGAGCTGCAGTAACATGCCCTGAAGGCGTTTAGGCGCATTCATGAGGGGCTTCTTAAAGATGGTGATCAGTGGTTTGTGGTCTGTTTCTGCAGTGATTGTGTCCCTGCCGTATAGGTACTGGTGAAATCTCTGGCATGCAAAAACTATGCTTAAACACTCTTTCTCTATTTGAGCGTAGTTTTGCTCAGTCCGTGTCAGTGCGCGTGAGGCAAAGGCTACGGGCTGCCCCTTTTGCAGCAAGCATCACCCCAGTCCATTCATGCTGGCATCACTCTGGATCGTTACAGGCTTTGTGACGTCATAATATTTGAGAACCGGCGTGTTGGTGACCATCCGCTTTATCTCGCGTATTGCATCATCGTGTTTTGGCAGCCAGTGCCATGCTGTGTCCTTATCCAGGAGTCTGCGAAGAGGCTCACAGATCTCCGATAGCCCTGGCAGGAACTTAGCCAGATATGTCACAAACCCGATCATGCGTTGCACTGCCTTAGCATCCGTGGGCGTCGGCATGTCCAACACTGCTTGAGTTTTCTCTGGGTCGATTTTCAGTCCTTCTGTAGACAGTACATGGCCGTGGAAATGTACAGCTTTGAGCTTGAACTGCAGCTTGCGTTCACTCAATCTGAGCTTCACAGCCCTGCACCGTTGCATGAGAGCTCTTAAGTTGGTGTTGTGGTCCTCTTCAGCCTCTGCGTCCGTATCGCCACACCCGACCACCAGGATGTCATCCGCAATAGGCTCGATGCCAGCCAGGCCTGATAGCAGCTCATGTTGCTTGCGCTGATAGATCTCTGGCGCCACTGACACTCCAAACGGGAGTTTGAGCCATCTCATCCGACCCCATGGGGTACAGAATGTCGTCAAGCGGCTGCTTTCCTCATCAAGCTTGCACTGGAGAAAGGCGTCACGAGCATCAACCAGTGTGAAGACACGAGCCTTGGGCAGTTTGTACAAGACGTCTTCTAGCGTTGGCATGTGGTAATGGGACCTGAGAAGTGCCTGATTGAGAGGCTTTGGGTCAATGCAGATTCTTATCTTGTCTGGTTTAGCTACTGTCACCATGTTGCTTATCCACACTGTTGGCTCTGTCACTGGCGTAAGGTTGCCTGCTTTCACATGTTTGTCCAGCTCTTCCTTAACCCGGGCTTTTAGCGCTACAGGGACATTTCGTGGTGAGCACTGGACTGGTGTCACTTCAGGGTTCAGATCGAAATGAATATTACCTGGGACTGACTCGATCGGGTCATGGAAAACATCATGAAAGTCTTTCAGTAGCATTTCTTTTGTGAGTGGCATAGACTGGCTTGCATCAATAGTGTTCACCTCCGCTGGTAGTAGTTCTCTTGGAATAGTGAATTTCACAAGGCCCAGATCAATGCTTTTGTTTGGTGTTCACTATCTCAAACACAAGTCTGTGTATTTTCCCCCTGACCACACAGTCAGTGTGAAATTTCCCCAGGGATGGCATGTATGTATCAGAGTACAGCTTTAGCCTTGTTCTGGTCGGCTGTAAGGCTGTCTTTGGTGACAGTTTCTCTTTAAACTGGCGGCCCATAACATTGCAAGTGGCCCCTGTATCTAGCTGGCATAGCTGTCTTTTCTTATTCAGGTGTAGGTGTACAAACCATTTGCGTCCAGGTGCTTTCACATTCCCCACATATTCAGTGACATTGTATAGGTTTTCACTTGTATCCGAGTCCCCTTCAGTTTGCCTTTCATCCTCAACAACATTAACTTTTCTTGTTTTCTCTGCTCTGCTGCTGGCCTGACATACTTTTGCAAAGTGATTTGAAACGCCACATGCTCGGCAGGTCCTACCATAGGCTGGGCACTGCTCTCTGCCCCGTTTGTGTCCATTTCCACAGTATTTGCAGGTCCACTGCTGCTCTCTCTCAGCCGCTGTGTTTCTTTCAGCTGTTTTCCACTGTATTTTGCGTCGTCCGCCTTGCCTGTCCACCATAGAATTAATACTGTCCACCTGTGCATGCGGGCTCTCAATAAGCCTCATGCGTGACTCCGTCGATTCTGCAAGGCGGCAAATCTCCACAGCTGTTGGCAGCGTTAGGTCCCGTTCACGCAGCAGTCTCCGTCTGGTGCTCTCGCTGGCAATACCGAGTACCAGCCTGTCCCTAATCAGTTCATCTTTTAGGTCACGGTACTCACATGATGATGCTTTTTCCCTCAGCTTTGTTATAAAGCTATCGATCGGCTCGTCCGGTCCTTGTTTGCAGCATCCAAACGTGTATCTCTCATAAATCACATGTTTTGCCGGCTTGAAATAATCCCCCAACGCATCCAAGATTGTTTTGGGGTCTTTCTTTTGTTCCTCGGTCAGCGTGACGTTGTGCATATATATATGCCGGCACTCGTTCCCCATAAGCCGTCTCAGCGTGGCTGCCTGCACCGCATTCGTTTTTTCGGTCAGACCTGTAGCGAGCATAAAGTCCTCAAATTCTGCTCTAAAAACCTCCCAGTTTTTGGCTATATCACCAGACATATGCATGCCCTCGGGTGCCGGAATACTGTTTGTCGTCATGACGTGAGTTTTCTTGAGCTTTTAGTCCAAGAAGACCACTTCTGACACCATGTTTCAGTCTGCAGCTTTATTTCGTAACTCACAACTCCATCACATGTATATTCCCGCGCTTGCGGATATAGTACATCACAGTGTAAGCCTGTGTCAGCATGCAGTTTACTAAAGCGCCAACAGGCGTCACTATATAGCAGGCATTAACAGATGCCCATATCTGTAACAGTTAGTGGCTGATGAGTCCCCAGTGAAGAAAAGAAAAAGACAAGAGGGACAAGAAAACAGCGGAGAAGTAACGGGCAGAAACCCTCCTTTTTACGCAGCGGTCCAGACATAGACATCAAACGGCGACACATATTCAGTGTGCAGTTCCTTTGGCATTAGAGCAGAGATATCTAGATATTTTCCAAGGTTTGACATCATGAATTGTGCTACTTTTAAAGCAAGCAGCGATGTTTTCAAATCTGTAATCAAAAAGCTCCTCAAAAACACTATCGAAACAGTTCCTGCCGTTGCTACGTTAGTTCAAACGGTAACAACGGACTATTTTTCTTAGCGGATGCATGTCAATTTAAATCAATACAACTATTTTTTAAATCAATAAAATAATTTTCTAAATCCATAAAAGCATTTCAATTAATATTGGGATTCATAATGTTACTTTGTTGAGAATGTGGCCATGTAATAAGCGGGATAATGTGCAGCAACTTGGTCATTATGGGGAAAAGAACACCTTCATGCCGATCTAGATCCCTCCGCTTCGCGTCGGGCTCCTGATCAGCCTGCTGCACATTATCCCTTACCTGTCCTACTAGGGCATTGCGTTCCAAGAATGCAGGGTTGTTGGTTGTTCCTAGAGTCTCTAAAAGTAAAATGGGAGCCAGAGCCTTTTCTTATCAAGCTCCACATTTGTGGAATCAGCTTCCAGTTTGTGTTCGGGCGGCAGACACCCTATCCGTTTTTAAGAGTGCGCTTAAAGAGCCTGTGACACGAGTTTCCCCCATCATCCAAACCCATCAATTTGAGTAAATATTGTCCCCTTGAAAACCGTTACTGAACTGATTTTGGATATTTGTACTTTGATAACCATTAATCTGCCCTTCAATGTTGACCATTTCCTGGATCTTCTCGGGGATTCTTCAAGTCCCGCCAAATTACGTGTGACGTCATTGCGGGCACAGCGCTCCAGCTGCACCGTTCAGGATCCCAACATCTGCATGTAAACGCACGATGGCGCACACAGCAGCAAGCTCAGACAGCTCAGACAGTTTAATTTTGAACGTGTCTGAGAGCTCATATGAGGCTGAAGGATCGGTTTATGTTGTATCTGTTAGAAGTTTAGGAATTAGGTGCGTCAATATGGGCGATCATACGGTCATGTAGCCAGTGGTGGACTGGGACTAAAAATCATCCCGGGACTCTCGACCGGCCCACTTCGGTACCGCTAGTAAGTTGTCAACGGGGGGAGTGGGGGATGTCAGGGGCGGCGGGTGCTGTAGATAGTAAATGTAAATATGTAAATATTTGTGTCACTGCATCCTGGTAAAATACAAATATAATGCAATGTCTGTGTCTTTGACATTAGCGCTGCCAATCACCTGTGCCCTGTACTACGAAGCCAGTTCAACAGACCCTGGATATGTTTGAGTAACAAACTAACTAACAACAACAAACTAACAAACGAGATCTCGCTAAGCGGTCCTACGACGCTGGTTATCAACTCGGTCAATCAAGCCAGGGTTTCTCTCACCAGCTGAGAGCGCGTTCACGTCTAAGACACGAGTGGATCTGACTTTAATTACATTTGACTGTGTTTCGTCAACATAATGTGTTGCTAAAAATAATACTTCTGCATACAGTATGTGACACTGTAAGTGTTGCACGGCCAGACACGGCAGATAAGGAAATATATGATATATTATGATATTATATGATCGATGATCTGATTGATGATGTAATATGAATGATAAGTGCGACACGTCGGCGTCTTCTCTGCATAGGCCTACGGCAGTTTAAACTGTATTTCCTTTATCCTGTAATATGACTTGAGAGATTTAAACTCCACACACTGAGTTGATCTCTTTTCTATAGACGCCGGAGGCGGGCAGCGTCAGGTAAAAAAAGTTATTTAGCCTTCCCAAACCTGAGCCTCACGCGCCGCCTATGGGGGATGTGCTAGTGATTTATCCGACCGGCCCACTTCGGTACCGGCCCACTTCGGTACCGGCCCATCGGGATTGGTCCCGATGGCCAGTCCGCGACTGCACCCAGCCCACGTAAACTGTCAACGGGGGGAGCCTCGCTGCGGGGAAACGGTGGACCTAGTGTCCCGATCGGAGTGGGAATAATAATAATAATAATCCGTGCATTTTATCCATTATTTTCCCAACATTGTGGTGAAAAAAACACACGTTTAATCCATGTTGGTGTACTACAACTACAAAAAGCATCGGTTTGTTTTCTCATCAGGAAATGCAGACCGGCTCAAACAAACGATTTTTAATCATCATTCTCACGATCATTTAATCTATCATATGTTCGCCGAATTGACATGAAAGCACTAATACATGTAGTTTCATCCACTTGAGTTTACAACTACAAAAATAATCGATTTGTTTTTATATCACATCCTACGGGAGGAAATTCAGTAGCTCTCACTACCGATTTTTAATCCTAATGTAATCATCATCTTCACCACGATCATTTATGTTTATGTTCGCCGAATTGACATGAAAGCACTGACAAATATGAATATACTGTAGTCAACTTCATTAAAACGTTATTAACGTGCCTAAACTCAGTAATTCACCATTTCTACGCATGACAACACACTTTGTCCGTGTTTGGCTCTCTCGCCGCACAGTGAAGCGTTCCCGCATTGACGTCACTTCCGGCTTCCCCCAAAACTTCAAAATGAGTCGAAGGAATTTCCCCGCCATGTTCGAAATTATTGATATTTAACGGAATGGTATCGCTTTTTCTTTTTTAAACTGACGGTTCGAGATTACTAGTAGCCCAATATTTCATTGCACAACAGTTGTTGGGATGCTGTCACAGGCTCTTTAAGACCTTCCTTTTTGATAAAGCTTATAGTTAGGTCTGATTAGATTCAGCCCCTAGTTTTGCTGATATAGGCTTAGTTTGTCGGGGGACATCTTACTTCTTCCTTCTCTCTGTCTATACCTGTGTACTCTCATGTTCCGATTAACCCAGCTTCCCCAAATTTCTTTCTTTTTGGTGTCTATATACGCCGGGATCCGGAGTCATGGATGATCCTGCGCTCCTCTGTCCTGGATCGCGAGCCCTGGATCTTGAATCGTGGCTGTGGTCCTGGATCATAGGTCCTGGATGGATATCCTCGTGGATTCATCTTCTTATTATACACACATGCATTTCCAAACATTTGGACTACCTATGTTGCAAATGTATTATCTTTTCAATTTACACACGGCATCTATTGAACGTCTGTCCGTCCTGGGAGAGGGATCCCTCCTCTGTTGCTCTCCCTGAGGTTTCTCCCATTTTTCCCTTTAAACTGTGGGTTTTCTCCGGAAGTTTTTCCTTGTACGATGTGAGGGTCTAAGGACAGAGGGTGTCGTATTGTCATACTGATATTTTGTACAAACTGTAAAGTCCACTGAGACAAATGTAACATTTGTGATATTGGGCTATATAAATAAACATTGATTGATTGATTGATTGATATTCAGGTATTTTCATGTTATGCCTCTTGATACTTCATTTGCATTTTAACATATTTTATTATTTTAGGTTTGTTTATCGATAGTATTGGTGACACACACACACACACACACACACACACACACACACACACACACACACACACACACTCACCACTCTCCTGAGAACATCATCGGGGACGTTCCTCTTGTGAGGACACACGCTGTAGGCGGAGGAGTGGCTGAAGATGACGGGGGCTGCCGACATGTCGAGCACCTGGTGCATCACAGCCTGAGTCACGTGAGCCAGATCGATCAGCATGCCCAGGCGGTTCATCTCAGCTATTAGTTGCTGGTGTTTGTAAGAACAATGAATGTTAATGGTACTTACAGTTTTTCTCGATTGCTAACACACTAAAATTCTACATAAAGCACAATTATTTTAACTGACACTCAAAGAGCAAAACATCGGCTCAAATCTCCAAAACTCTAAACACGTTTTCAGCTTTTCACACAATTTGTAAATCAACATGGCACTTTGTGCAAACCACTGCACACGTTTCTCCACGTAAGACACAGGAATCTGACATAAAGTCACGTGTTAGCAGGTTTAAAACACTGATATTCAAAAGGCCTCACACATGGACCAATGATCAAGAAACACGTTCCACCCTTTATATATACAGTCTATGGTTCCACCTGACCAAACACCTGAGAGCATCATTGTTGGCTCATCAATCAGGATGTTAGCACTATAAAAAGACCACAGGTGAGAACTTTCTTACTGCAACAATGGAAGCCAACATGGAAGCAAGAGCAAGAGGAAGAGGAAAAGGAAGAGCTGGGCTGAGAGTGAGAGGAGGAAGAATGAGAGGAGGTAGAGCTGGAGGGAGAGGACGTGGACAAAGAAGAATACTCTCTAATTAAATGAAATGTTATCAACCATGGTTTGAGGATGAGAGAGGCTGGACAGAGGGTTCAGCCTAATCTAAGCCGATTTACTGTTGCCTCTGTAATCCGGACACTTATGGCGCGTTTCCACTGCAGCGGGTAGCCCCGTTTAAGCGTCCTTAACCGTCCTCAAGCGGCCAGGCCGGTTTTTGGTGGCGTTTCCATATAGCCTAGTACCGGCCAGCGGGTACTTTTTCCCTCTTTTTCCGGCCTCATAAAATCGTGGTTCCCTCAGACCAGGGCCAGGGCTGAACTAGTGACGTCAACACTCTCGACTGCTGATTGGTCAGAGAGAATCGTCACAAGATTGCGCGCGAGTTCATCCCTAGCGTCGCATATATATCTAGAAGCAAGCTTGCAGCATTTTTATACACAGCATTTTGTAAACGGAGGAGCTACACAAATGGCTACTTCTAAGAAAAGCACACCGTGGTCGACCGAGGAGGTGACGACGTTCCTTCATCTCATTGGGGATGATACAATCCAGCGGGAGCTCGACGGAACAACTCGAAATGTGAACAAAAACAAAGCCGATCGCCCCGCCTACACTGCGTTGCTACCCCAGGTCCTAAACTGCAATGGGAATGCGCCACGGCCTCGGACGGCCAGTGAGGCAGCCCGAGGCCAGAGCGAGGACGCTTAGGGACGCTTAAACGGGGCTACCCCGCTGCAGTGGAAACGCGCCATTAGACTTGAAACAGGTTAGTTACCAGTTTGTAGCTCTGCATAATTCTTGATATATCAGTGCTTATATCTGTTGTGTGAAACGTATTTACTTCATTACTGTAATTGAATTGTTGGCATGTTGCATATTATAACTGTACAAACATCCTGCACAATGTACTGTGGTAAACTTACTTTTATGCAACACAGACACTGACCAACCACTATATCTTTGTTGTTTATCTGAAGGACTGAGAAACAAAGAGGTGGAAGGCTAAGGATTTCCAATGAGGCCCAGGTAGTAGCAGCAGTTACAAACTGGGTTTTGGCAAACAATGCCATCACACTTAGAGAGATCCGAAGCATAGTAGCTATGTGCTGAGATGCATGTTGCACAATGTTATCTTTGAATATAATGTGATTTCTTTCAACAACTCATTTGTATTTCTCCATTTACTGTATGTCTGTATACTCAAGCAATCTTTCTCTGCAGAAACCTCTCTGTACAGAGCACAGCCCATAACAGATGGAAGTGCTTTAGATGATGCTCAGCAGTGTGTAGCTGGGTGGTTAAACTATCTAGTGTTATGAATGGAGTGTGTTATATTTGATGCAAACGTTTGCATTTGGAAAGTGTTTATGTAGTTTTGAGGGCAGTTCTTCATTTAGCAGGAGAAATGAGGAGTTTTGCACTTTGGGGGTGTGGTTTTGTGAATTGTGTTTAGTGTTCTGAGAAACTGAGCAATTAAAAAACTGTAAAATATTAAACTAGATACAGTTCCTGTTATATCTATTGTCACAAGTTGACCCCCTTCATGATATAACACGTTTTATTGCTTAAAAAATCCGATTGAACTTTGTGTTTGGACATTTCTGAGAAAAAGCCCAAATAAATATTTGATTAAATGTTGAAAATGTAATATTAAAAACAATATTATTCTTTATGGGCACATTTATGAACACACTTGAAAAATTGGAAATGGGAAAAATATTTTGTCAATTGTTTTTACAAATAGATATGTATTACATTACATTATATTATTATTTTATGTAATATGTAGTTATTTTAATAATAAGCCATATTTGTTATATATATATATATATATATATGTAAAGGAATTATAGTATTTCTATCATGAGTGTGCAGACATTTGACTTTTACACATGGTACAAGTGTTTTATGATGCTTGTAATAGGAGTTAGCTGTTAAGAAATTCCTATTGTTTAAGCCAGTAAACAGTAACTTATTACACTTTTAAAGCATCATTTGCCCATCCCTGCTGTTTGCTGACCTTGCCAAATGCAGATAGACCGTTGTGTTCAGATGGATCCGCTCCAGTGTCGACAAGCCAGTTATCCGCCCTGAGGATAAAAAACAGTTAGGACTTCCCCAGCAGATTTGGTGCTTCAAAGGTCACATAGTGTACTTTGAAATGTGATAGTGTTAGTATGAAAGAAGGTGAACAAATACATAGATTCACTTTAGGAGGTGTGTGACAGTTTTCTAATCCTTTGGGTATAGTTCATAAGGTTTCTCCCGACAGTTACATAGATTTAGCCTCCTAAAGAGATCAAAGTGTTTCAGTGCTGAACTTCCAGATAATCTGATATTGCAGCCTGCAGGAAACCCCCAAACTCCCCTCAGCACAACTAAACTGACCATGACAACTGATAGTTATAAAACAGAAAAAGATATGATCGAGCTCCACTGAAAGCCCAGCCAATAAATAGATTAATACTTAGACAGTGTGTTTAAGCTGCCCTTTTTTGGTCACTTTTACTCGAGTAGGATACGACTGAATTGACTGTGGACGATGTCTTTGTCTATGGTGTTGTTTAAGTGTGTCTATAAAAATATGTGCATATGTCTGTGTGCTCGGGGGATGTAACAAAGTGCCTTTATTAAGGTAGAGATCTGAGTTACTTTAGTTGAGTATATCATGATAGATTGTTACTCCACTACATGTATTTGACAACAATAGTTACCCATAGTTTACAAATTAAAACATTACATATGGAAAAAAAATTGCTTTCAGAATCTTTTCAATTGAACAAAATAAAAACCTTTGAGCTGAAATGATCAACAAACACAGGTAATTAAATGCACGTGATGGATGCGTGTCACATATAAGGTCACTTGTGTTAATTTGCACTGTGTTTACGAGGAGTAAATGTTCTGTGTGTTGCTGGCTCTTACCAGGGTGTGTTGCAGGAGTGTGTGAGTGTGAGGTAGCGGACCCCCAGCTGGTACATGAGGCGTAGGGTTCCCAGACTGCTGTCCAGGGAGTGACCCCCCTCCACCCCGATCAGACTGGCTGTCTTGTTCATGCTGAAGGCCGTCATGATGTCTGAGCAGAGCAAACATGAGTGTGATTCAGAGACAGGTGTGAGTGGAGAAAGCAACAGTCTCTGAAATGTCTATAGTCTCACCATGGCTACTAGTGGCAAACATGAAGGTTTCTGGGTATTTTTGACACATCCTGTGAACCACGTCTATCTGCTCCAGTGTTTGTCTGACAGCATCTTTGTACTGACTCTCACAGGGAACATATGCAGACCAGAACTGTAAGAGGAACAGAGATCATGTATTCATTATCAACACACCCTGTATCCAGGGGATTGTTATTGCCCTGATATTAAGTTCCTAATTAGAATCATATCCCTTTTTTTATTGCTTTATTGATGATTTATTATGTATGTTTTATTTATATGACCTGGGTTGTGAGCTCACCTACAAAATGGCTGCAATACGGCTGGTAAAATGAAGATACACACAATGAACCCTTAACATTTGCACACAAGAAAACTATGAATACCTCAAAATAATGCTTGTGTACAGTATTTGAGTACAAGTACCTATTTACTTACTACCACCATCAAATATGCTTTACTTTGTTGCATAAAGAAGGCAAGAATGATAAGTCAAGACTAAAAACGTATTGTTGAGCAGGTAAGTAAATGCTTAACACAAACAGGTTTACTTTATAGATAGCCGGGTCCTCTGCATCCAAATTGATCTTGGCTCACCTAAAGTTCGTCTCAATTCTGTTTGGAACTTTGGGAAACAAACCTTTGCTAACAAAATCTTTTGGAACACATTTATCACAATTTTCTTTAGCACCTTAATGCTGCTCAGTACAACTACACTTTGAAATATCAAGTGTTCTCCTACAATGTTTTATATTATTTAGGAGAGTGGATGCAGTTACTTGCAAGGCAAAAGGTGTTTATGAAGTGGTTAAATATTTCATTAGATTGAATTTTAAAGATTTTTGGAAGACAGGATGTTTGTCTCAGCAGACGAAGAATCACATGATTTTGCAGGATGGTTTTCTGTAATTTCCCAGTATTATGTTCCGTACGTACTTGCGCTCCCAGTCGTCCCTCCTTGATCTTTGGGATGTTGGTGTGGGTTGTATCCAGCGTGTTAAGATCCACTTTGTTGAGCTCGTTGTTGAATTGCATTCGAAGCTGCCAAGGCAGGTCATTATGGCTGAAATATCAGGAAATCAAAGGGTTATAGCCTCAAAAGCCTTTTCTCAAGACTCTCATCATAAACTGTGATTTCACAGCAGGGAGGTACTGCCCGTTTCCCAGATCACCACTAGAAATTGCTTCCAGAAGTGAGTTTTTACTACCAAACATAAATAGTTTACTGCTTTTGCTCATATGGCAAACAGCACATAACCTCAACAGAGAAAATCATAACACGAAACGTTCACTAAAAGACTTTTCCTCTTACCCGTCAATGAGTGGGGTCTCAGACATCAGCTGCAGAGCTCTGGTCATGTATGGATCCTCAGCCGCGGCACAAGAGCTGATCCACAGCATTAAATATGCAGCTGAGATAACTTTGGACAACATTTCCTAAACTTTAATACACTGTTAAACAATCTGCCCTTTTTTTCTTTAACCCTAACCCCCTAACGCTTTAGTTCTCTTTTAGCTCAATCGCAAGATCCCACTTCTTAAACCTTCTGCAACCTCTGACCAATCGTGATTTAACCTCCTGCTGCTGAAACAGATCTCTTTCCTGGTTTGCCAATTGCCAATCTTTTAGTTTTTTGTTTGAAACTATACAGATTCTTGAAATGATCCACCCAGCTGTGTCTGTTTCCGTCCGATTGAACCACTGAAGATCAACTCTGCTCATCACTCCTCCTCTGTTTTGAATCTGTTTCTTATTACAGCGTCAGCATTCATAAACGCAGCACAGTAGCTTATTAACTCTTACAATCTTACAATTGTTAACCAATACATACGTCCGGCAGTGGCACAGTCAGTAGGGGCTTGGACTGTGAGCCGTAGGGTCTCTGGTTCAAGTCGCCGAACAGACCTAAATATGGAGTGTGGACTGCTACTTGGAGAGGTCCCAGTTCACCTCCTGGGCCCTGCCGTGGTGCCCTTGAGCAATGCACCGGACAACCCCCTTCCCCCCTCACTCCCATTGCTCCCCGGGCGCTGTACAATAGCTGCCCACTGCTCCTAGTACTAGACTCCTAGTACCAGGATGGGTTAAATGCAGAGAACACATTTCACTGTGTGTGCTGTGTGCTCTGCATGTGTGACCATTAAAGAGGGTTTCTAGTACTAGACTCCTAGTACTAGACTCCTGGTACTAGGATGGGTTAAATGCAGAGAACACATTTCACTGTGTGCTGTGTGCTCTGCATGTGTGACCATTAAAGAGGGTTTCATCCCTCCGATTCTATCTATCTATATGCTGGTTCACGTATTATGTGCCTTTTAACTGCTTTTCTACAGTCACAACATATGTTCATGGACACATGGATCATACCAGAGCTACTAAGCAGAACCAGCAGAGCAGTCTGGAGCACATTAAACATCTTTCCTGCAGGAGAGGGACTTTGAGTCACGCACACACACACACACACACACACACACACACACACACACACACCACACACACACACACACACACACACACACACACACACGGAAAATGGAAACTAAGGAAAAAAACCAGGGATCAGAAAAGCCCCAAGGAAGTGGTCTTGGCGTTGAAGGCAAGGCAAGGCAAGGCAAGGCAAGGCAAGGCAAGGCAAGGCAAGGCAAGGCAAGGCAAGGCAAGGCAAGGCAAGGCAAGGCAAGGCAAGGCAAGGCAAGGCAAGGCAAGGCAAGGCAAGGCAAGGCAAGGCAAGGCAAGGCAAGGCAAGGCAAGGCAAGGCAAGGCAAGGCAAGTTTATTTATATAGCACCTTTCAACACAAGGCAATTCAAAGTGCTTTACAAAAAACGAAAGACATTAAGAAAATGGCATTTAAAATCAGTCATTAAAAAGAAAAGATAATAAAATAAACATTAAAAGAAAAAAGAATACATGGAAAAAAAAATACATGGATAAAAGTTACAGTGCAGTCTAATATGTGAATAGTTCAATTAAAAGCAGCGACAAAAAGAAAAGTCTGAAGTTGAAGCGTTATTCGTAGAGGCTCAGTGGTATTCATCTTCCGTGTTTGTCCGTGACGTCAATCGACTCAAAATGAATAGTTTGACTAACATTGGGAAAGACACGTATGTAAATCAGTATATCATTTTTTTTGTAAGGTAAATCAAATATTTGAACAGTCATTATTTAAATCATTTAGTCTTCAAAATTGTAAAATGGTCAGTCCAGAGTTTTTTTCCCACTACATTCCTTTAAATGAGCCAAGACGTTGTGGAGGCAGGTCCTCAGTAAAACCCAACTGGCCCATTAGATGCACAAGATCCCTGAACCGGGTATTTCTGTTTTCGAGAGTCAGGCCATTATGGTTTCATGTGCCACTGAGCAACTTTCAAAGGAATTAACAGGATAATGTTTATTTTGCAGGGCAAGCACAGAGTGTAAAAGTGGGCAGCATAACTGTCGACTGTAAACATATTTAAGACAGTAAAAAAGCCATCTTTCTATTTTGTATTTGTATTGACATTCTGAAGTCTAAAAATCAACGCTAACCACAACTAATAAGCTACTTTATTACAGACACATGCATTTACTAACATTCGGTCTATATGCTGTAAAATGTATTATCTCTTCGATTTCCACACGGCATCTATTGCACGTCTGTCCGTCCTGGGAGAGGGATCCCTCCTCTGTTGCTCTCCCTGAGGTTTCTCCCATTTGTTCCCCCTTAAACTGTGGGTTTTCTCCGGAAGATTTTCCTTGTACGATGTGAGGGTCTAAGGATAGAGGGTGTCGTTTTTCTCATACTGATATTCTGAACAATCTGTGCTGTTGTATTTGCTGTAAAGTGTCTCTACTGTAGGCTATTTTTATTATATGTACAGCACTTTGGCTCGACCAAAAATCGTTTATAAATGTGCTATATAAATAAAACTTGATTTGATTTGATTGACCTCTAAAAATCGACCTTGCGGGAGCTGCACAGACAGTTTCAGGCAAGAAAGAAAGAAGCGTTTTGCAGCTGGATTAAACATGACTAGGGCTATTTGTTATATTTGGCCAATAGACTGACACCAAGAGTGCTATTTGCATTTCCTCTTTCCATCACTATGTTAAAGCCTGCTGTGTCACCATCGGTCTCTCTAACAGAGCGGATGCACAGAGAGACAGCTTAGCAACACAGACAGGCACAGGCAGAGCTAGAGGAAGGTAAACACAAAATTCAAGAGCAGTCAAGAGGCAGCTGAAAGGGGAACCTGGACCAGCCAATAACATAGCCTAGTATACCGTGTTTACAGGTTGGATATGGCCAGGTTGGATGTCGCAGAGACCTTTCATGGCATTTTGTTTCCGGGACACCTGCACACCCAGGATTCCTTACAACTTGCTCTCAAATTTCCATTTCAGGATACAGATATCGTGATTGTCTCCTATCCAAAGTCAGGTAAGAAGAGACAAATAACTGACCAGGATACATGACATCTGCAGTGTCTTTGAGCCTTTGAGCAACTAACCACAGGAGCATGTTGAGTAACTCATTGCAGTCATAATGTAGATAACCATTATGTAATACAATGATTGAAATCTAAATGACACATTACTACACTTAATATGTTTTTGCAGTTTTACTTAAAAAGGTCTGATAAAAATGCTCCTCTCTTTCCTCTCAAAAGGCACCACATGGATGCAGGAAATTGTCACTTTCATATCCAGCAGAGGGGACCCACATGTGTCCCAAACTGTACCAAACTGGGCTCGGGCTCCCTGGCTGGAGCAAATTTATTTCCCTGCTATACAGGCGACATACAACAGCACACCTCGAGTCATCACCACACACCTGCCTCATCACCTGCTGGGCCCTGCACTGCAGGGTTCCAAAGCAAAGGTTAAATATACATGTTTATTTAACCTTTTGGACCTTAAAGTATAGAGATAGTCGAATATTGGCCAGTCCAATATGTATTTACTGCAGACATCAGTGTATATGTTGTGTCGAGGCAATAGCAATAGAGTAAGGCCAAAGGTTGGAGGTCATTTGGAGACAGTGTTACTAGTTTCAAGAGGGCACTGAGATGTTGATATTTAGATCTTATTCAATACGGAATCTGACCCTGTGGCTCGTTTCATCTCACAGGTCATCTATGTGAGCAGAAACCCTAAAGATGTGGTGGTGTCTTTTTTTCACTTCCACAAAATTGCCAACTTCTTCCCGGAGGCTGACTCCTTCCCAGAGTTTTTAAATCGATTCCTGGAGGGGAAACGTGAGTTTTTCAAGAATCTATATTTATTTCATTGGTCTGTACTGTTATGCTGACAAAAGGTAATCTTTTATTTGTTTCAGTGCACTATGGTTCCTGGTTCGACCACATCAAAGGCTGGACTGGTCAGATAGGAACTATGAACAATCTGCTTCACATCACATATGAAGATATGTCGTTGGTAAATGTGATTTATTTTGTCATCCCAACAATAATAAATGTCCCCAAAAATTATTTTGTTTATTTTTTAAATATATTTAACAGGTACATGTTTTAAAGTGTGCAGCTTTCTTATAAGATATTTACTTATCTTGTTCCCGATCATATGGGCTAGGAAAGAAGAAGTTAAGGGTGAAGTTCACATGTGAACATGTTTCTGTTACATGTCATTTAGGGCTAGGTTCCTTGTTTGTGTGTTTCAAATGATATTATTGTCGTCTTCCTGCTGTCAGGACTTACATGGCGCCATACAGAAGGTGAGCTCTCACCTAGAGATTCCCCTGCTGGAGGAGGAGGTCAGCAACTGTGTGAAACACTGCATCTTCAGCAGCATGAAAGACAACAAGATGGCCAACTACACCCTGATCGATGAGGAGATAATAAACCATGGCAAGGGCTCCTTCATGAGAAACGGTGGGGCTCGGTTCTGTTATAATCTGATACAATCACAAAGTACTGAAGTACAAAAGTAATGTAAAAAATGTGTGTCACCATAATTAGAAGCTGTTATCAATTAACAAATTAGTATCACACCTAAAGAGTCCCAAGAGGAATCCAAAGGGTCAACATATAATTAAAGAGATAATAAATGGATTCTTTCATTTCTGCAGGCCTCCAAACAAGAATCCTTTAAACTAAAAGAAAATAGAGAAGAAATGTGAATTAGCATATTCCCAAGAGTGTCAAAATATTCTTTCAAGGATGTGTTCATCTGAAATTTAGAAAATTAGTCAACAGGTCTTTATTTGAAAATCATGATCAGTTGAGAATAACAAACATGTTTTTGTATGCTTCAATAATACAGTATATATATAAATTCACCTGTAGTTTTTAAGGTTTTTAAAATCCTGTACTTGGTCTTAAATTAAATCCCATCTGTCTCTCTTCCCCTCAAAAATGCAGGTAAGATTGGAGACTGGAAAAACATGTTCACAGAGGAGTTGAATCAATATTTCCAAAGTATCTTCGAGGCAAAGATGAAGGACTGCACTTTAGAGTATGTGTGGGAGGAGCAACAGAAAGAAGAGACTCAGGCTAATGAACAAATCCCACGGAAGAACACAGCACTGTGAAAAAAGCTAGACAGTATGTTTTATCCTGTGATTCAGGTCACAGGTGGATTGTTTTCTTCTTGGTTGAAATGTA